TCAGGGTTAGGGTTGAGGACGTGGGGCTTCAGGGTTTAGGATTCAGGTTTAGGCCTTCTGAAAGGTTTCGAGGTTTAGGGCTTGTAGGGCTCAGTGATAAGGCTTTTAGGGTCCAAAATTTTGTTGGCCAGGTGTTGTCTGGGCTGTGCACCACGTGCCCCGCGCTGCGGTAGACGGAGAGGTTGACGGCCACCCTCTTCGGCACCTTCCATGGGGGGGGTGGGTGGCTCGATTCTGTTGGGCCGAAAAAAACTTTCAAGCCACTGCTTGGGGGTTCAAGATTTGCGTAAGCTTCGAAGTCATACTTCGAAAAGCCCACACCAACCCAAACCCAACTCGAATTCACCCTGCAAGCAGAACTGGCAGGCATGGGTCAAGGCATGAGTCGAACATGCACGAGGCGAACCCCCCCCTCCCGCCCCCCACGGTATTAATCCCAGACTCGTGTGCTCAAACCCCTAAACCCCAAAGCCAAAGCCTATAGATTCCTACCGATATACAAAGGTTTCGGCTTTCGGGGGCCATGCACACAGCGGAAGCACGGTGAAATCCACAGATCAGCGAGCCCACAAAGCTGAAAGGGCACCTCATACTCCGAGGTCTCAGTGCAAAGCACCTTTCCAGGGTTTAGGGTTTAGGATTTAGGATTTGGGGCTTATAGGGCTTAGTTTTTAGGGCTTGGCTGGGGTGGTGGCCAAGGTTTTGGGGTTCAAGGTGTGAGGTTTGAGGGAAGCTGTCGAAGAGAGTCTGAGTTCTGCGCAGTTCTCTACTTCCTGGTTTGTCTTGAAAGTTCCCTAAGGGTCCATGTACCTATAAAGTATAGATTTGGGCCCTAAAGCTACTATATAGGAACCCCTTTAAGGCCCAAGTATGTACTATATAGGTACATGGACCCTTAGGGGTTAGGGTGTCTTGCTGGCATGTGGCAAGAAGCTGGGAAGCAAGTCGTGGTCCGTTCGAAGCCGAAATAGTAACAGACTCATGACATTGCTTCTGGCGCCCCACAAATCCAGGATGAGTGACGCGTGAAGCTTCAGAAACTTCTGAATGCTTGTCATGCAGTTTCATTTGTTTCCGTCGGGAACGCACTGACTTCCGCCAGCAGCCACCAGGACAAGAAGGTGAGATAACTGAATAGCCCCTGATTAGGGAAACACCATATCCCCTGTAAGCCCCCAAAACCCTAAACACCCCTAAACCCTAAACCCTAAACCCTAAACCCTAAACCCTAAACCCCAAAACCCGCAAACCCCCAGAAGCCCTGAACTCCAAGCCAAGAAGACCAGCCCAAAGGGTCCATTTGTATTACTATTATGGATTTAGGTACCCAAAAACCATACTAAACAAGGTTTTGGGGTTTAGGGTTTAGGGAATTCCATAATAGTATTGCAAATGGACCCTCTGGGCAGGGCAAAGGCCTTCAGAATCCGGGCCGAGGCGTCCATCCACCTGCCGCGTGCTGCAGCGGTTTATCCGGCGACCTCTACAGGGTTTCGTGCTTAGGACCCATAAAGGCCCTAAACCCTATAATAAACCCTATAAAACCCTATAAACCCTATAAACCCTGTAAAACCCTATAAGCCCTATAAACCCTGTAAACCCTACAAGCCCTATAAACCCTATAAACCCTATGGGGCTTAGGGATGACTTACAGTAAAACCTCAACCCCAAAAAACCCAGAAGAACTACAGGGTATAGGGTTTCGGCTCTCACGCAGGGCTTAGGTTCTAGGGTTTACTGTAGGAGCTAGGGCAGCCAGGAGAATTTGAGACCCCAGCCAAGGGGTAGGTAAGAACTATTCTGGAGGTCTAGAAGGTTTGTGTTCTGCCTGGGGCCGGAATAGCGTGGCTTCCCCGGATCAAGCCGGATTGAAAGCCAAACCCCACAAGCTTGGGGGTTGAACGGTCTAAACTCCACAGAGCCCGGGACCCTAAACCCTAAACCCTAAACCCTAAACCCTAAACCCTAAACCCTAAACCCTAAACCCGAAACCCTATAAACCCTAAACCGCTTTGGCCGCCTGTTCGGGTTGTCCTTGTACCAGCTGGCAAAGATGCTCCCCTTCCGGTGCGCAAGGCTTAGGCTGGAGAAGGAGTTGGAAGCTTCCGCGGCTTGGGTTGTTGTGGGTTTAGGGTTTAGGGCTTAGGGTTTAGGGTTTAGGGTTTAGGGTTTTGACAAAGAATGCATGTGGAGCTCGAGCCTACTTGGAGGCTCATGGGTACTTAGAACCCCAATGATATGTCGACTTATAACCTACTTAAGTACAGCTATAGTTGGGGCTACAAGTACCCTGAACCTCCAAGTAGGTTGTGCAGGCAAGGTAAGTTGGCAGAAGGAAGGCTCCCTAGGACTGAGAGCACGAAGCGGTCGGCCTTATGAATTTGGGTGTGCTTGGAGGTTCAGGGTACTTAGGAAGCCACTTACAACTGTACTTATAAGCCCCCTAAGCCCCCCAAGCCCCCGGAGTCCTCTATGCAGGTTCTAAGTATAGACTTATAATTGGGGTTGTAAGTACCCATATGAACCCCCCTAAACCCTAAACAAAATCCTTAAACACTTTGCCCTAAACCTCAAACCCTAAAGCCGAAACGCTAAACCATGTACAGTTGGGGTTTGAAGTACCCATATGAACCCCTAGGCCCTAAATTTACTAAAACCTAAACAAACCCTTTACCCTAAACCCTAAACGCTAAACCATCTACAACTGAGGGTTATAAGTACCCGTATGAACCCCCAAGTGGGTTTTGGGCGTTAAGGGCATACGGGACGCAACAAGAACAGTTTCAGGGTGGCCTGAGTTGTGGCCAAGAAGGGGCGTGCACAGAAAAGGGGTTTAGGGTTTAGGGTTTAGGGTGTAGGGTTTAGGGCAACGAGGGCCGACTGACACACTTTTGAGACCTTCCTAACTGACTGGCCATGGGTTTAGGTTTTAGGGTAGATCTGAGACATTCAGTTTCAACAGGCCCTTATATCATCCCGGCTGTTTGTGCCAGTCTTTCGTTGCAGCAGCAGAAGCACTAGCATGAAGTATCACACGCCTTTCTTCACCAAACAGACCCTAAACCCTAAACCCGAAACCCTAAACCCAGCTATGTTCAGGATTGTTTTGGCCGGGAGGCCCAAATACCAAGCCTTAAGATTTTCGGCTCTTTCCCTCTAGGGCCTCGCAGCGCAAAACACTCAACCCGAAACACATGACACCCTAGAACCCTAAAACCCGCTTTTGAACGCTATGAAACCCTAAGCTCGAAACACCCTGCACCCCCCTACAACCCTAAAACCTTAGACCCTAGTACCGCTTCGAAAGGGATTGTGGGAGGGGCAAATTTGCATCTTTTGCTAGAATGAAAAGGTACGCGAGAACTTCAGCCCATAGTTTCGGTAGAGGCGGCTTAAAGCTTAAACGGGTTCACGGTGTAAAGGGTTGGTTTATGGGCTGACGGCTTCAGTGGTCGGGTGGCTTGAAAAGGTTGCTTTGGGGGCGGGTTTAGGGGGGTCAACGGTGCTTTCGGGGTCAGGGTCGCTCTCATTATCTTCAACGCTGTCTCGGTTTGTGAGACAGTGCCTGAGCCAAAACCCTGAATTCTGAACCCTCTATACCTCAAAACCCCAAACCCCAAACAACAAACCCGAAACCCGAAACCCGAAACCCGAAACCCGAAACCCGAAACCCTAAACCCTAAACCCTAAACCCTAAACCCTAAACCCTAAACCCTAAAGCCCAGCCCCCGTCGTCTTACACGGTTCGTCCGGCAGCTGAGCTCTGCGCAAGGCTGTGGTCGTCACCCAGGCCTTACTTCAGAAGGCTTTCCTAGACCTAAGCCCCCGAAACCCTATTAGCCTAAACCCTAAACCCTAAACCCTAAACCCTAAATAAACCTTTCACCCTAAACCCTCATGCAAAGCTCCAAGCTGCCCCCCCAACCTTCCCATCAACGCCAGCAAGCACGCAACCCGAGACAGAAATGCTGCTGTAGGGTCTGCTCTTTCTTGGAGGTTCATGCGTACCTATACGTAGGGTTAGAAGTACCCTACAAAGGGGGTAGAGAGATTATAGGCAGGGCCTGCTCTTTCTTGGAGGTTCATGCGTACCGATAAGTAGGGTACAAAGTACCCATAGTTACCCTACTTGTAACCCTACCTCTAAGTATCCATGAGCCTCCATGTAGCCTTAAACCCTAAACCTGGAATTGGGAATTGTTTGGGGACACGACATGCCCGAGGCCCAATGCTCAGATTTGGGCGCTGTTTGCGGCTTCTTGCGCTCAGGATTGAAGGGTTTGTCTTGACACTGGCATATCGGGTTAGGGCTTATAGGGTTTAGGGTTTAGGGTTTAGGGACTAGTATACGAGGGAACATCCCAACCTGTTCCGACAATGCGAACGAAGCTTGCGTAGCTGGAAGAAGCCAATAGGGTTGAGGACTTTTTCTGTTCCGTGTACCGAGGCGGCCAAAACACCCTTCTGTGTGGGGTGTATGTACCTGCCTGGAGCTCCATTTACCTACTAGGTTACGGTTATAACCTACTATTTTGTAAGGTTTGGGAGGTGGAGCAGCTGTATACAAGTGAAGGGATTCTCCCTATTACCAACCGCGCCTTCTGTTGGAGTTTGGTCCCTAAAGAAAACCACTGACCTGGCAAAACCGAAGGTGCCTTGGGAAAGTCATGTCTAGAAGCTTGCAAGAGGGCTTTCTCTTCTGGAGTACTACTGGACGGCTTGGTGCCCCTGTGGAGGGCTTAAGGCCACTGCCTACTGGGAGGGTTCAGCCCCCTGCCTACTGGGAGGGTTTAGGGCCCTTGGTACTGGGAGGGTTTAGGCCAGGGTTAGCCTTTGGCAAGGAGACACATAATCACTTGGAAATGACGGAAAAGGTGTGGCAGAAGCTATGCATGCCAGGCATAGGGCAAAAGATGAGCCCGCCCCACCACCACCACCACCACCACCACCCGGCTGCGTACTGTAGGACGATCTACGTACACGAGCCCAGCGTTTTTTCATCACAGCTCTGTCCTTGCCATCCAGCGCCAGAGGCGGCCTCAGCAGTTGATCCGAGAGTGGGGGATCTTGGTGGCTCGAGGCTGAGGATTGTGAGGCTTACGAGCTCAAAACCCTAAACACAGACACGCCCTGAATTTAACTGCGCTATGGCTACCCCTGTTCTTCCAGGGATCTCTCTATTAGTGTACAAGACCCCCTATAAGGACCCCATCATTCGGTCCTTTACGGTACGTCTAGGTAGGGCAAACGTTCAACTGGACCCAAGACTAACCTAGGAATCAAGTGGGTGCCCTAACGGGCTTACTAGGGAACTACTAGGGAACCCAAACCCGAAAAAAAACGGAAATTACCATTTCGAACCTCCCCACCCTGTCCCTACAACCCAATTGCAAGGATTTGTATTAAATATACATTCCGGAACCTCCCTGGCTTGCCAATTCAGGCAAAGTTTCCACAGCTTTTCTGCCTGCCTATTTTCAGCTGGGCAACAGTACCAGTTGCCGCAATACGCAGACCAGGCAACTGTACCAGAATGTTGCATGAACGCGCGCTCTTACCTTGAACCGTACCCCCAAACCTCTCAATACCCTGAACCCTAAACCCTATAAACCTTAAGACCCTATAACCCTAAACCCCTAGCCCTAGAGCCCTACAACTTGTGACTATACACCTCACACTTGAAGAAGCCCTGCGCCCTGGACTCTGAACCCTAGGGCCAAGCTGGACCAAGCCGCGCCACCAGAAATCCTGCTGAACATCCTGAAGCCAGTGGCCCCCCAAATGCAGCCGCAATCCGTAGGGCTAAACCCTCAAACCGCTAAATCCTACACTCTAGAACCCCAAACCCAAACCCTAAACCCCAAACCCCAAACCCTAAACCCTAAACCCTAAACCCTAAACCTAAACCCTAAACCCTAAACCCTAAACCCTAAACCCTAAACCCTAAACCCTAAACCTTAAACCACAACCCCAAAGAACTGAACTAAACGAGACATCCGCGGCCCTGTACTTCCCATCCGACTCGCGCACCCTGGTTGTTGGTTAATGGTTCTTGGTTGATTGCCGTTGGTTAATTCTGCTTGCTGGTTCATCATGGTTGTTTGTGAATCATTGTTGTTGGCTAGTGGTTGTTGGCTTAAAAGTAAACCCTAAACCCTAAACCCTAAACCGTTCATGCCGTCTCTGTCAATGTTCAGCATCAGGTCGACTAACTCAGCAAGGCCAGTGTTGGAGGCAGCGAGCAGAGACGACCTAAAGCTCCTGTTTAGGGTGTAGCTTTCAGCAAGAAGCCTACAATCTCAGCATGGCCCGTCTCGCATGCCACGTGAAGCGGCGCTCCGCGCTACTCGGCTCCCCGTGTCGGCACCAGCTTTCAGAAGCCCACAATCTTGTTATGGCCATTCTCGGATGTCAGGTGAAGGGGCGTGTGGCCGCCCAAGTCCTGCTTGTGCTTGTCAGCACCAGCCTTCAGCAACAACCTCACAATCCTTGCATGCCCCTGCTTGGAGGCCGCGTGAAGGGGTGTTCCGCCGCACTGGGCCTTCATCTCCGGGTCGGCACCAGCTCTGAACAACAAGCCTACAATCTCGGCATGGCCCCGCCCGGATATGCCCGGATGCCACGTGAAGGCGCGTTCCTGTCCACTTGGCCATCTTGTCCGTGTCGGCACCAGCTTTCAGCAACAAGCCCACAATCTCAGCATGGCCCTTCTCGGATGCCAGGTGAAGGGGCGTAGCGCCGTAAACGCCCTGCTGGTCCTTGTCGGCACCAGCTTTCAGCAACAAGCCCACAATCTCAGCATGGCCCTTCTCGGATGCCAGGTGAAGGGGCGTGGCGCCGTAAACGCCCTGCTGGTCATTGTCGGCACCAGCTTTTAGCAACAAGCCCACAATCTCAGCATGGCCCTTCTCGGATGCCAGGTGAAGGGGCGTGGCGCCGTAAACGCCCTGCTGGTCCTTGTCGGCACCAGCTTTCAGCAACAAGCCCACAATCTCAGCATGGCCCTTCTCGGATGCCAGGTGAAGGGGCGTGGCGCTGTAAACGCTTTGCTGGTCCTTGTCGGCACCAGCTTTCAGCAACAAGCCCACAATCTCAGCATGGCCCTTCTCTGATGCCAGGTGAAGGGGGGTGGCGCCGTAAACGCCCTGCTGGTCCTTGTCGGCACCAGCTTTCAGCAACAAGCCCACAATCTCAGCATGGCCCTTCTCGGATGCCAGGTGAAGGGGCGTGGCGCCGTGAACGCCCTGCTGGCCCTTGTCGGCACCAGCTTTCAGCAACAAGCCCACAATCTCAGCATGGCCCTTCTCGGATGCCAGGTGAAGGGGCGTGGCGCCGTAAACGCCCTGCTGGTCCTTGTCGGCACCAGCTTTCAGCAACAAGCCCACAATCTCAGCATGGCCCTTCTCGGGTGCCAGGTGAAGGGGCGTGGCGCCGTAAACGCCCTGCTGGTCCTTGTCGGCACCAGCTTTCAGCAACACACAGCATGGCCATGCAGGTGAAGGGCGTGGCGCCGTCACCAGCAACAACCCACAATCTCAGCATGGCCCTTCTCGGATGCCAGGTGAAGGGGCGTGGCAAACGCCCACCAGCTTTCAGCAACAAGCCCACAATCTCAGCATGGCCCTTCTCGGATGCCAGGTGAAGGGGCGTGGCGCCGTAAACGCCCTGCTGGTCCTTGTCGGCACCAGCTTTCAGCAACAAGCCCACAATCTCAGCATGGCCCTTCTCGGATGCCAGGTGAAGGGGCGTGGCGCCGTAAACGACCTGCTGGTCCTGGTCCTTGTCGGCACCAGCTTTCAGCAACAAGCCCACAATCTCAGCATGGCCCTTCTCGGATGCCAGGTGAAGGGGCGTGGCGCCGTAAACGCCCTGCTGGTCCTCGTCGGCACCAGCTTTCAGCAACAAGCCCACAATCTCAGCATGGCCCTTCTCGGATGCCAGGTGAAGGGGCGTGGCGCCGTAAACGCCCTGCTGGTCCTGGTCCTTGTCGGCACCAGCTTTCAGCAACCCACAATCTCAGCATGGCCCTTCTCGGATGCCAGGTGAAGGGGCGTGGCGCCGTAAACGCCCTGCTGGTCCTGGTCCTTGTCGGCACCAGCTTTCAGCAACAAGCCCACAATCTCAGCATGGCCCTTCTCAGATGCCAGGTGAAGGGGCGTGGCGCCGTAAACGCCCTGCTGGTCCTTGTCGGCACCAGCTTTCAGCAACAAGCCCACAATCTCAGCATGGCCCTTCTCGGATGCAATGCCAGGTGAAGGGGCGTGGCGCCGTAAACGCCCTGCTGGTCCTGGTCCTTGTCGGCACCAGCTTTCAGCAACAAGCCCACAATCTCAGCATGGCCCTTTTCGGATGCCAGGTGAAGGGGCGTGGCGCCCTAAACGCCCTGCTGGTCCTTGTCGGCACCAGCTTTCAGCAACAAGCCCACAATCTCAGCATGGCCCTTCTCGGATGGCAGGTGAAGGGGCGTGGCGCCGTAAACGCCCTGCTGGTCCTTGTCGGCACCAGCTTTCAGCAACAAGCCCACAATCTCAGCATGGCCCTTCTCGGATGCCAGGTGAAGGGGCGCGGCGCCGAAAACGCCCTGCTGGTCCTTGTCGGCACCAGCTTTCAGCAACAAGCCCACAATCTCAGCATGGCCCTTCTCGGATGCCAGGTGAAGGGGCGCGGCGCCGAAAACGCCCTGCTGGTCCTTGTCGGCACCAGCTTTCAGCAACAAGCCCACAATCTCAGCATGGCCCTTCTCGGATGCCAGGTGAAGGGGCGCGGCGCCGAAAACGCCCTGCTGGTCCTTGTCGGCACCAGCTTTCAGCAACAAGCCCACAATCTCAGCATGGCCCTTCTCGGATGCCAGGTGAAGGGGCGCGGCGCCGAAAACGCCCTGCTGGTCCTTGTCGGCACCAGCTTTCAGCAACAAGCCCACAATCTCAGCATGGCCCTTCTCGGATGCCAGGTGAAGGGGCGCGGCGCCGAAAACGCCCTGCTGGTCCTTGTCGGCACCAGCTTTCAGCAACAAGCCCACAATCTCAGCATGGCCCTTCTCGGATGCCAGGTGAAGGGGCGCGGCGCCGAAAACGCCCTGCTGGTCCTTGTCGGCACCAGCTTTCAGCAACAAGCCCACAATCTCAGCATGGCCCTTCTCGGATGCCAGGTGAAGGGGCGCGGCGCCGAAAACGCCCTGCTGGTCCTTGTCGGCACCAGCTTTCAGCAACAAGCCCACAATCTCAGCATGGGCCTGCTCGGATGCCAGGTTCAGAGCCCTGCTGCCCGAGTCCGACTCGCCATCTGTGTCAACACCTGGCTGCATTCTCGACCAGCTCATCTACAGCACGATGCATCTGTGCATCACCACTTATCCTAGTCCGCAGCACTTGCATGTCCATGTCCCCATTCAACTCGGCTGCGTCATCTAAGATCGTGGTGCCATGGAGGAGATGTTGAAGGCAAAGAGGGAGACCAACGTCGCTCGCAAATGGCGCTTCAGGGTTTCTACGGCTGGTCTGTCATCGCGCAAGCACTCTAAGTCGTCAGTCGTCATGGAGACCAGCTCTTCTCCGGAAGCGCTCCACACTCTCAACATAGCGGAGGCGGCGTGGCGAAGCAAGTCGAAGGGAGGCCCCAAATGGAGGTTTATCAAAACCGGGGTCCCTTGGTGTCCTTTAAAACCCTGATAAAATGTTTTTGGGTTTAGGGACTCCCTAAACCCTAGCCCTGGAAGCTGTATGGCTGCTTATCGCCTTGCGATCTGCGCAGCTCTCTGACCCATGCATCCCTGACTAGCAGGTGGACATCCGAACAGAACAGTAAACACCAAACCCTGCTGTAGACTCTAAACTACACATCTCTACACCCAACCAAGCAGCCTACATCATTCCTAGAACCTGCACAGGAGCTAGGCCCCAGACCCTACACCCTGAAGCTAACAGCGATGAGACTCATAGACCCTAAGAGCAGCTTGAACACAAAAGCTGGACAAGTCTGCATCTGTGGCAAGATGGGCGAT